TTCGCGCAGATAACGTAGCACTTTAGTCCAGCCTTTCTGCATCCACAGGCTCCCCAACATCTTTTTTTACATTTACAAGAAATTAGTTTTAGTAATTTTGCTGGAGCTGGGGGCTTAAGTGTGGTGGCAGGAATTAGACCATTCTTGCATTTTTTCTCTCTTACTCTACTCTATACCACTTCTGAACCTGGTGATAGGTTCGGAACGAATGTTGTCGTGCTGCTGCTTCTGTTAATACATAAATTATAGGAAATGTTCTCTAGTTTAATTTATTACATAACTATTTTCACCGTAAAGTGAGTCGGAAAGGAAATATCGTCGAAAAACTGTTTTGGAGCGCCATTTTTCCAATATGGTGACTACTTCCGCAAAAAAAAGAGGTGGTAAAGTAAAAATTCGGAAATAACACGTTAAAATCTATAAATATACCAATTTTCAAGACTCCCCTGAAACTTCACAGGCAAAACTTCCAACTGATTGGACTATATGTACATTCAATTATTTGGTAACATAAGCAATGATAATCGTGTGACCCTATGTCAATGCCAATATAAATAGTCATAGGGTCGAATCCTAAGGCATTGTTATTGAAATGTGACATCTGATTTGCGTAATATTTCGCAGATATTCTATTTAACATAGATACGTGGAATTATGATCAGATTAATTTTCGCCGACCCAGCTTCTCTCACGTAGCTTCTCTTATCACAGATAAAAACTAAAAATACCAGATATATTTGCAGTGAAACCAAGAAAAGAATAGAGCAATACTATTTCAAAATTGATTTTAATGTGTACAGCAATATAGGAAGTTGCATTGGCAAATTTCGTCACTACTAGGGCTGTGTCCGCTTTTGTGCGCAATATTGGCCTTGTTGTCTCTTTCTCCCCGATAGATGGAGAAATGTCAGGTAGTTCGTGAGAAAATTAACATTAACGTGTCACGAACCAATACAATTTACATCTTTCCACGACTGTAATTATTTATTTCACAAATTTACCTCATACACAGGGCATGGCGTATAATACTGTGTTTATTTTAATTAAATGAATTTTGCTGTGGGTCACAGGGATCAAGGCGCTGCATAGGAAAGTCGTAACATTTCTATTTTTTTTAACCGGCCACGCTTGACAGATCACATGCAGGTAATGGAAATCGGTGATCGGATATTAGTATTTCATAACGTTTAAAAGTAAAGGGTTGGAATTATGTAAATGAGTTTTTTATATATGAAAAATGTATATAACAAATTTGTAAAACAAATTTTCATCAAAAATAAAAAAATTAGCCTAGTTTAATGTCCAAGGATTGTACATTGTAACCACTTTAAACTTTAAAAAAAATTCTCTCAATAATGTCCACACGCTATTGAGTTAAATTTTCACTCTATTAGTATGAGTACAACTGAGTGAAATTATTGCATCAGAAATGAGTGAGTTTTACTCAAATCTGAGTTGCTGCTAACTATCAATTGAGCGACTTTTGACTCTATTCTGAGTATATAAAAGAGTTGACTTTTTCTCTACTACGATTTAAATTTAACTATTATTGAGTCATTTTTACGCAGACTTGGTTTTTAATTAACTAAATATTGACTGCAAAAATAAATGATGATGAATTAGAATATACACTGTCGAAATTAATTCATTTCGCGGGGCCTCCTCCTGTCCTGGCTGAGATCCACCAGCTGAGACCCGCCGCCACTGTAGTCGAGATTACAGAAGTAATATGCAAGTGGTGGCATCTTCATGGCGCCATTCAAATTACTCGAAATTAATATACGTTTAATCTCAGTCAGTAATGAGGACATTTACTCTGATCTAGGTACAAGTGCACCAAATACGAGTTTAGGTGAAGAATTTATTTAAGGAGTACTCAGTTTTACAGTTAGTTTAAATATAATCACAAATGAGTGAAATGATCAAAATGCTCAATATTGAGTGAAAATGTACTCAATCATTTCACTAAATAGATTCACTCCGAACCTTTATTGCTTTCACCCAGACCGAATTTTTTAAAGTGTATATTCTCTTTAAATTTTAATTTAAATATCATCGTATTAAAGTCATAAATTACTAAGTTGCCACAGTGGTTTCTACACAGATGTTTTAGAGACAATATTTTAGGTCTCGATTAAAAAAATTGGTTAACTGATGGACGAATAGATTATCATATCCTATATTGTACGTTACAGATACGTAAGTATAGGAATAATTTAACTATCCCTTTATTTAACCAAATATTATCCTCGACCCAATATATCATTGTTTTTAATTATTGTAATCAAACCATTGTATTTAAACATAATTTCCAACAAAATAGTATTAACGGACACTTGTTCAGCACTACACGCCATACACCACGCCACGAGATGACCTAATGGGGAGGATGGGAATAGACAAAGACAACGCACGACAACCATAGAATGGGGTGGGGTAGACATAATGAGGACATTTACTCCGATTTATCTAATTATTTCACGGGATATTTTAGTGAAAATGCTCAATATTGAGTGAAAATGTACTCAATAATTTTACTCAATGAATTCACTCACACCACTTTTTGACAGTGTACATACCCTTTCAGTTTGTAGTTTCGTTAGACCCAAATATGTCACAATATTAACTTGTTTTCGAGCTACACAGAATTCTTTATCGGTGACCAAATTTGTTTGTTTATATTTGGCAACATATATCACAAGTTTATCAGTTACCGAGTTACCTTGCTTTTTATCTCCGTGAATTATCGGAGCCGTAAGTAGGCCTCTAAAACCCTATCGTTTTTCGCTAATGGGGGTTAAGGTGGGTCAATCACTAATTAACAATTAATACTGGTAACCTTTGCCGCAAATTAACGCCAACCTTGATTTTTAGCGTTGCGCAAGCCAGCGCACAATCCTATTAAGCCCAGATGTGTAGTAATTGAATATATCATTTACATACTGCCACCGAGTATTGCCAATAAGTCATATTGTGGATGTAAAAAACTCGTATAGTTGCTACCTGTTGAAATAACAATTTATCCGTTTCGAAACCAGATAGGTTCGGCTCAGGCGCATGCCTTATAAGGCCTACTGTTATCGCAACTACAACTATATTATTAGATCATACATAGTTTATGCTGAAAACAGTAATTCAGCTTAAAGAAAAGGAAAGACACTGTCTATAACTTGCAACTTTACTGTTTATCATTCCATTCTTTGTATTCTCAATATAAATACTTCACCTTGCAGGCTGTTACATCATAATTATTGAGCAATGCAATTTATTAAGCGAAATTAAAATATTAATTTGTCGCATTTCTATGTCGAGGATAAATAAATCTGTAATTTATTCCTAAGGCGTAAAGGTCTCACCTCTTGACACCAAATCGATTTTATTTTGATAAAATTCTAACGCGGATTCACAGTTTGCTTTAACCCTCAAGCTGATGGCAGGAGTGAAGCGGGGGACGGAGTATGCCGATTTTATTATTTGTAAGTTGACAGTCCTTGTCATGTATATAGGTATGCACTATCGGTCGTACAGTTGACTGCTTTAACCTATAAAATGTCAGATGAAGAACGAAGTCAGTAGAAAGGAAAATTTGTGACCAAAAGAAAGTATGTGTGCTTGAAAATTAGTAAAGAAAATAGCAAAAGCAGGAAAAAGCTGTTGAGGAGAATATTGTGGAGCCAGAACCTCCGCACACCGTACGAGGGCATCAACTAATCGACAAAGCATGCACTGCTCTTTTTGCAAAGAAATTTTAGGCATTTTAAAATGTCTACAAACTGTGATCACGAAATGATTTACGTGGAAAAGTTAAAAATAATACGAAATTGGCAGCATTTTTTCGTAGCACCCTATGTTCCTTAATCCTCGTGTGCAAGAGCGTTGTCAAAGCGTCTTAATTGCTATCGCCTTTAATTGTGATTTTAAGGGAAATAAATCCGAGATTTATTATTCGCAGTTCACAGAAATTATATCGAAATTATATGTAATTAATATCCGCACGCTTGCAACATGATGCAACGCGAAATTCAATTCCGATTAAAAACCATAAAACAACCGAAGGATAGAGAAAGGAATTGCACCTTATTCATTCGCGAAACTTATGATTAATTCTTTTTCAACTGATCTGGCGTGATCTGATCTAAACTTATTGCGTCTATTGGTGCGAAAGGAAAGGGCCTTCAAAATTCACAGACTAGAATTAATAAACATTCTCAGAACTAATGACGTGCATATTGTTAATTATCATGGTATTCACAAAGTTGCACAACGCCTTAATTAAAAAAAAATAATACACTTCCTCTAAAGACGAGGAAGAGTACGTAGAAAAATACATACAACACGAAATNTAGCACTGTATTTTTTTCTCCAGTTCTGAGGCGAGACGCGACGATCCGGCAACGTGGCCTTCCCGTTTTTTACCTGAATTGAACGAGTTGGCCGAAAGAACGAGTTTATTTTTAATTTCAGACTTGCACGGTAACAAAGAAGAGGAGGAGAGGTAGAGCGGCGTATGCTGAAAACAGGAAGCCGTGCTCATTGCGAAATTGTGAACTCGACCTCTTTTTTAGAGAACAATACCGCGAGCTCCCATGACGATGATGCGGCGGAATCGTCGATAGTCGTTCCCTTCGAGCACAAAGGAAGAACAAAGACAGTTTTAATATGGTGTATTGTTTAGATTTCGTGACTTTCTAGCAGCGGGATCAGAGCCGGCTTCAGGTTCAACTTGCCCATGCCATAACGCCGTTCATGGCAAATAAAAACATATTTTGACATAGTATTTAAAGATGCTTTAAAAAATCTCCAATGTTTCCAAAGAAAGAAATTTGAAAGTTTGGTAATTTTTTAAGCACGAATTCCTGAAGTCCTCTATTTATTGGTCCATTTCCGATATTTAAGAAAATCGAAAGTGGGGCACTTTTTCCAATAAACTAATCCCAAAGGAATTGAAAGCACTAGCTAATAAAGAAATTAGAACATATTCAAAAGAGACAAAAACTCACCTTTGGGGGTCAGCGAACACGAACTTCCTCAGCTTCAGGTCCCTGAGGACGATGCCGTTCTCGTGGCACACCTGGACGGTCTCGGCGATCTGCTTGAAGAGTCTCTTCGCTTCCGATTCCCTAAGCCTCTTCCTCGACCTCACGTACGAATGCAGGTCTCCGTGAGCCTTAGGGAACACCAGGTATAGGTAACGATTCCTGGCTATCACCTCGTGCAGGGAGGACACCCTTGGGTGAAAGTCCAGGCGATAGTGGGCGGACACTAGGGAATGGCTGTCGCGGGAGACAATCTGAAAGAGAAGTATTCCTCATTTTCCCACACTACTTACAAAAGGTAAAAACAAAAGTTGTTGATTAAGTAATGAAAAAATCCCAGTATTCCAAAACGCATGTGTTGTCTTTCTTTTAAGTACATAAAAATAGCTTTGTTGAGAAATTGGTATTGCAATGAATCTAAGTCATGTTTTATTAATATTTCTCGGAAATCTCATTGTGAATAGTAAATCCAGTCACCAGGTATTTAAAACAAAAGAACGGACGCCAAGTCAACTGCGTTTAGTGCTAAAGATAGCATGTGTTGCATTCTTAATTACAAATCGTTTAAATCCAAGTCTTTTTTTTTTCAGTTTTTGGATTGGAACCTTGAAACTCGGCCATATATATTTAATAGTTCTGTAATAATAGTGATAGAGAGGTGCTGGAATGCGGTATTCCTAATTATTTCCTATTATTTTTTATGTTCATTCAATTATTTGGTAACCCAAGCAATGAAAATCGTGTGACCCTATGTCAATGCCAATATAACTAGTCGTAGGGTCGAATCCTAAGGCATTGTTATTGAAATGTGACATCTGATTTGCGTAATATTTCGCAGGTATTCTATTTAACATAGATACGTGGAATTATGATCAGATCAATTTTTGCCGACCCAGCTTCTCTCACGTAGCTTCTCTTATCACAGATAAAAACTAAAAATACCAGATATATTTGCAGTGAAACCGAGAAAAGAATAGAGCAATACTATTTCAAAATTGATTTTAATGTGTACAGCAATATAGGAAGTTGCATTGGCAAATTTCGTCACTACTAGGGCTGTGTCCGCTTTTGTGCGCAATATTGGCCTTGTTGTCTCTTTCTCCCCGATAGATGGAGAAATGTCAGGTAGTTCGTGAGAAAATTAACATTAACGTGTCACGAACCAATACAATTTACATCTTTCCACGACTGTAATTATTTATTTCACAAATTTACCTCATACACAGGGCATGGCGTATAATACTGTGTTTATTTTAATTAAATGAATTTTGCTGTGGGTCACAGGGATCAAGGCGCTGCATAGGAAAGTCGTAACATTTCTATTTTTTTTAACCGGCCACGCTTGACAGATCACATGCAGGTAATGGAAATCGGTNCGGAAAGGAAATATCGTCGAAAAACTGTTTTGGAGCGCCATTTTTCCAATATGGTGACTACTTCCGCAAAAAAAAGAGGTGGTAAAGTAAAAATTCGGAAATAACACGTTAAAATCTATAAATATACCAATTTTCAAGACTCCCCTGAAACTTCACAGGCAAAACTTCCAACTGATTGGACTATATGTACATTCAATTATTTGGTAACATAAGCAATGATAATCGTGTGACCCTATGTCAATGCCAATATAAATAGTCATAGGGTCGAATCCTAAGGCATTGTTATTGAAATGTGACATCTGATTTGCGTAATATTTCGCAGATATTCTATTTAACATAGATACGTGGAATTATGATCAGATTAATTTTCGCCGACCCAGCTTCTCTCACGTAGCTTCTCTTATCACAGATAAAAACTAAAAATACCAGATATATTTGCAGTGAAACCGAGAAAAGAATAGAGCAATACTATTTCAAAATTGATTTTAATGTGTACAGCAATATAGGAAGTTGCATTGGCAAATTTCGTCACTACTAGGGCTGTGTCCGCTTTTGTGCGCAATATTGGCCTTGTTGTCTCTTTCTCCCCGATAGATGGAGAAATGTCAGGTAGTTCGTGAGAAAATTAACATTAACGTGTCACGAACCAATACAATTTACATCTTTCCACGACTGTAATTATTTATTTCACAAATTTACCTCATACACAGGGCATGGCGTATAATACTGTGTTTATTTTAATTAAATGAATTTTGCTGTGGGTCACAGGGATCAAGGCGCTGCATAGGAAAGTCGTAACATTTCTATTTTTTTTAACCGGCCACGCTTGACAGATCACATGCAGGTAATGGAAATCGGTGATCGGATATTAGTATTTCATAACGTTTAAAAGTAAAGGGTTGGAATTATGTAAATGAGTTTTTTATATATGAAAAATGTATATAACAAATTTGTAAAACAAATTTTCATCAAAAATAAAAAAATTAGCCTAGTTTAATGTCCAAGGATTGTACATTGTAACCACTTTAAACTTTAAAAAAAATTCTCTCAATAATGTCCACACGCTATTGAGTTAAATTTTCACTCTATTAGTATGAGTACAACTGAGTGAAATTATTGCATCAGAAATGAGTGAGTTTTACTCAAATCTGAGTTGCTGCTAACTATCAATTGAGCGACTTTTGACTCTATTCTGAGTATATAAAACCAATTTAGAGTTGACTTTTTCTCTACTACGATTTAAATTTAACTATTATTGAGTCATTTTTACGCAGACTTGGTTTTTAATTAACTAAATATTGACTGCAAAAATAAATGATGATGAATTAGAATATACACTGTCGAAATTAATTCATTTCGCGGGGCCTCCTCCTGTCCTGGCTGAGATCCACCAGCTGAGACCCGCCGCCACTGTAGTCGAGATTACAGAAGTAATATGCAAGTGGTGGCATCTTCATGGCGCCATTCAAATTACTCGAAATTAATATACGTTTAATCTCAGTCAGTAATGAGGACATTTACTCTGATCTAGGTACAAGTGCACCAAATACGAGTTTAGGTGAAGAATTTATTTAAGGAGTACTCAGTTTTACAGTTAGTTTAAATATAATCACAAATGAGTGAAATGATCAAAATGCTCAATATTGAGTGAAAATGTACTCAATCATTTCACTAAATAGATTCACTCCGAACCTTTATTGCTTTCACCCAGACCGAATTTTTTAAAGTGTATATTCTCTTTAAATTTTAATTTAAATATCATCGTATTAAAGTCATAAATTACTAAGTTGCCACAGTGGTTTCTACACAGATGTTTTAGAGACAATATTTTAGGTCTCGATTAAAAAAATTGGTTAACTGATGGACGAATAGATTATCATATCCTATATTGTACGTTACAGATACGTAAGTATAGGAATAATTTAACTATCCCTTTATTTAACCAAATATTATCCTCGACCCAATATATCATTGTTTTTAATTATTGTAATCAAACCATTGTATTTAAACATAATTTCCAACAAAATAGTATTAACGGACACTTGTTCAGCACTACACGCCATACACCACGCCACGAGATGACCTAATGGGGAGGATGGGAATAGACAAAGACAACGCACGACAACCATAGAATGGGGTGGGGTAGACATAATGAGGACATTTACTCCGATTTATCTAATTATTTCACGGGATATTTTAGTGAAAATGCTCAATATTGAGTGAAAATGTACTCAATAATTTTACTCAATGAATTCACTCACACCACTTTTTGACAGTGTACATACCCTTTCAGTTTGTAGTTTCGTTAGACCCAAATATGTCACAATATTAACTTGTTTTCGAGCTACACAGAATTCTTTATCGGTGACCAAATTTGTTTGTTTATATTTGGCAACATATATCACAAGTTTATCAGTTACCGAGTTACCTTGCTTTTTATCTCCGTGAATTATCGGAGCCGTAAGTAGGCCTCTAAAACCCTATCGTTTTTCGCTAATGGGGGTTAAGGTGGGTCAATCACTAATTAACAATTAATACTGGTAACCTTTGCCGCAAATTAACGCCAACCTTGATTTTTAGCGTTGCGCAAGCCAGCGCACAATCCTATTAAGCCCAGATGTGTAGTAATTGAATATATCATTTACATACTGCCACCGAGTATTGCCAATAAGTCATATTGTGGCTGTAAAAAACTCGTATAGTTGCTACCTGTTGAAATAACAATTTATCCGTTTCGAAACCAGATAGGTTCGGCTCAGGCGCATGCCTTATAAGGCCTACTGTTATCGCAACTACAACTATATTATTAGATCATACATAGTTTATGCTGAAAACAGTAATTCAGCTTAAAGAAAAGGAAAGACACTGTCTATAACTTGCAACTTTACTGTTTATCATTCCATTCTTTGTATTCTCAATATAAATACTTCACCTTGCAGGCTGTTACATCATAATTATTGAGCAATGCAATTTATTAAGCGAAATTAAAATATTAATTTGTCGCATTTCTATGTCGAGGATAAATAAATCTGTAATTTATTCCTAAGGCGTAAAGGTCTCACCTCTTGACACCAAATCGATTTTATTTTGATAAAATTCTAACGCGGATTCGCAGTTTGCCTTAACCCTCAAGCTGATGGCAAAAGTTAACTTAGAGCGTTTAGGAGTGAAGCGGGAGACGGGAGACCCTATGTTTACAACAGCGTACGAGTATGCCGATTTTATTATTTGACAGTCCTTTGTAAGTTGACAGTCCTTGTCATGTATATAGGTATGCACTATCGGTCGTACAGTTGACTGCTTTAACCTATAAAATGTCAGATGAAGAACGGAGTCAGTAGAAAGGAAAATTTGTGACCAAAAGAAAGTATGAGTGCTTGAGAATTAGTAAAGAAAATAACAAAAGCAGGAAAAAGCTGTTGAAGAGAATATTGTGGAGCCAGAACCTCCGCACACCGTACGAGGGCATCAACTAATCGACAAAGCATGCACTGCTCTTTTTGCAAAGAAATTTTAGGCATTTTAAAATGTCTACAAACTGTGATCACGAAATGATTTACGTGGAAAAGTTAAAAATAATACGAAATTGGCAGCATTTTTTCGTAGCACCCTATGTTCCTTAATCCTCGTGTGCAAGAGCGTTGTTAAAGCGTCTTAATTGCTATCGCCTTTAATTGTGATTTTAAGGGAAATAAATCCGAGATTTATTATTCGCAGTTCACAGAAATTATATCGAAATTATATGTAATTAATATCCGCACGCTTGCAACATGATGCAACGCGAAATTCAATTCCGATTAAAAACCATAAAACAACCGAAGGATAGAGAAAGGAATCGCACCTTATTCATTCGCGAAACTTGTGATTAATTCTTTTTCAACTGATCTGGCGTGATCTGATCTAAACTTATTGCGTCTATTGGTGCGAAAGGAAAGGGCCTTCAAAATTCACAGACTAGAATTAATAAACATTCTCAGAACTAATGACGTGCATATTGTTAATTATCATGGTATTCACAAAGTTGCACAACGCCTTAATTAAAAAAAAATAATACACTTCCAAAGACGAGGAAGAGTACGTAGAAAAATACATACAACACGAAATATACCAATGATTTTTTTTATGCAACGCTACTGGCGCTTCTACTGCGTTGCAAGCACATTACATGCACGAAGTCATTTGGCTACGTATAAAAATTAGACAGCACGTGTGACATTTTCAAGGCCGGCTAGATGTACAATCCCGTCACGTGATTTTCATTAATAACTCGTCAGCTATTTACCGATTTGGGGATTTTACACAGAACGTGTCGACTTGATACATTAAAACTGTACCCATACGCCGTTCTTTGTCCGCGCCACCATTACGCATTCAAGGCCTCCTTTGAAATTCATGAACGCGAAAGGTGAATGTCAAATTTAGTCAATAGTATTAAAATAGGTGTTGTAAACGACTTATTTTAAATAATTTACGAACGTCTGTTCGTCGGATACGTGGCATTTGGAATTCGTAAATCGCTTACTAACTAATGAGGTGTTCTGTTAACCAAAAACGTATGCGATATGATTAACTGGCATGAATAAGTACAAGCCGAGCACAAATCGGCAACCTTTTGAATAAACAAACGACCGTTCCAACGCGACGTGACGAAATACTCGGGTTTTAAAGGTAATTCGAGAATAACATAATCGTTATGAAATAGCTGTGTACTTTTATGACACAGTAAACGAATTAAACTGCGTCTTAGAGTACCCGGTTTTTCTACTCGACGTTACATCGATTATTTACTTAAATCGAGTCGGCTTTGGAAGATATTTACAAACAAATGAATGGGCGAGCTCCTTTTTTTCACCACACGCAAGTAAATAGGAGTTGGCTACCGAATAAACATTTCAATTATGATGTCGAGACGAAAAAAAAACCGATGCCTAATAACGCAGTGGCGTCACGAAACGCGTCACTTGGTTACCATGGCAACGCAGATCTTTACTGTGGGCGGCCAGTAGAATATGAAAACTGAAGGGTATAAAAAGGAGGCATTTAAATTTCTTTTGGTAATAGAAATCTCGATACATTTCGGTATATTTGTTTTGTTTTTAATGGCCAACAAAATGTCCGAATCCAAGCAGAAATAAGCTATAATTGTTGCCAAGATCTCAGCGGCGATAAAATGAATGGAATAATTACTAAACGGACTCCAATTGTCAACATGCAACAGCAGTAGCGTCAAACAGTGGAATTTTTGCAATTTCAGACAGAGACAAATGTGTGGAAGTCAGTATTTTAAAGTCCATGATAGTTATGGAATCGTACAATCAATAGTTCTGACCAAGTCATATCATTTAACGATATCTAGGTGCATTATCAAAGGCCAACTGCGATGGAGAGGGAAGTTGCATTTGATGGTAAACAATTACAAGAGATTAACAGATTAGAGATTATACTTGAAAACATTTTGTTTTACAATGAGAAGGTCAACCTCTTATGTTCGAATCAGGTAACTCATGAAAAATCAAATTAACAATTTAGTAGTCTGGCAGAAATAATAAGAGAGAAACAGTTGCTTCCAATTAATTCCCTTCGTCTTGGCAAACATTTTATTTTGAATTGGACAAAGGAACATTGGCTCAAGTTGAAATAACTACACACTTAAATTTATTTCATTGTCAGTTGAGTGAGTTAGTAAGAACTATTTATTGTATAAATCTTTTATATTTTCGTAATAGTCGTCCTCCCCTCGTCGTTCTCATGGTCCACCCTTCGCCACGCATTAATTTAACTAAAACTACTGCGTACTAGTTTCGAGCTGGTCCAGATCGCAGTCGGCCAAACAGGTTCAGCGAAGATCCGCGGACTTGAACTCTGGGAATTTTCATCACGAACCCAGTTTAATATCGCGACCTTCCGACCTCTCTCAAGTTTCTGCATTCCTTATGCGACGATTAATTTATTTAATGTGGGAAATCGGGGGAAATACTGAAATATATGCACCCCATCCCCGATGGGGTTGGGATTTTTATAGCCGCTCCCGATATTTGCATATCATCGATTGTTGGGCGCAAACAGCAATTCTGTGATTATAAAATTTCTATTTAAATCCTGAAGGGTCGGGCAAATAACCCTTCGACGTTTTTAATCCGCAGCCCCTCACAGTTGAGGCTTTTATAGTCCATATTTTCCGTTTTCTTGGTAAAAAATCGCTGCGTTTCTATCGAGAATTGTACATTATATTGATAATCGTAATTGCCACTGGAGACGTCTGTAAAGGGTTTAGACGTTTAAAGCCCTTTTTATTGTTACGCTAACATTGTTTGTCTCCCCTCTCTGTCTGGTAGAAAGAGTGAAAGCAGCGCTTAGGACGGGCAAGTTTCGAAAGGCAGGTAAAAAGTGCGAGGAGCAAGCGGTTTTTAATATTTCGGGCTAGTCGATTGCACCTATTACGAAACGCTTTTTGTCGACTTAATTACTTGCCTTGACTTTCTAATTTTACTGAAGAAATTGTTGATTAGCCAGAGGAGATAGCTATTAAACCAAAATATTGGAAAGTGGCACGATTTAGTATAAATACTTTTTCTGTGATAACTACAGAAGTTACATCATTGATGAAAGTCTGTCTAAATACGTGAAGCATGTTTTTGTGTTTTGGTATTTAAAATATGCTGTAAACCTTTCAAAATATTAACTAAAATATTCGACAAGATCAAAGTGGAGATGATGCAATTGTGATTTGTTTCCACGACAGCTCGCGACATTTCAAATCGACTACAATCATAATTTGTTTAGGCAATTGTAATCTTCTTTTATTTTTGTTTCGCTAATTGCCAATTATAATTTTGTACGGTCAAACGTCATACACGATTTTTATTCGAGTAATGACGTAAACGTTTCCGACATTAGTAATTATATTGCCTTTATATGGCTGCAATTTTCGGAAAGTCGGTTGCACAAGCTGACATGAGCGCATTCGCCAAAAGTAAGGCCAGTGCTAACAAAACTTTATGACGGATATAATCTATTCACAAGAAATTACAACACAAAAAAATCTGTACGTAAACAACTTTTGTTTTTGGGTATAAAATTTCACGAGGGGTATTTAAATGCGGCTTGCTTAAAATCGCATTGGCCTAGGTTAGTGCAGGTTACACAAAGGGACCTTTTGATCTTTATTAGGGGGACCTTGGGTGGTGTTTGCAAGTGTCGCAACAGGGCCCTTATCCGAGGCGGTATTTGCACCTCTCCTACGAATTTTTTCGAGGCGTTATCAAGCGACAACAAATATTGATAGACGGCATACCTTACAGACCAACTCCTCGTGCGTGTTGATGTCGACGCACCGATACAGCGAACTGCCCTCAACTTGCTCGAACAGCTGGTACTTATCCGCTATGACGGAGCTCTGGAAATCCCTCTCGCCCTGGTTGGGGCACTGGGGGGCGCCTTGGTCCCGGTCGGAGGTCACCCTCGGCACCCTGCATTCGACATCCCGCGGGTGGGAAATGCGGAATTTCTTTATCACATCGCCCCCCGGGATGGTCGCCTCCACGGCTGACTTGTCCACCACCCGAGCACTAGGTAATACCTCTTGGATGTTTTGCATTTTGTTTTCGCACACTCTCACGCACTTGCACTTAATAATAAAAATTTGTTACAGTCACTTAGATTAAGAATTTGTTAAGGTCTCTTACGGCACTAACTTGAATGGATGCTCTGGAAAAGAAAAAAAAAATAAGTCTTGACATGTGTCAAATTGCGGGAGTGTAAGGCGTTGCGAATGGCGTATACATTGCGGCAACCGCGTGCGTTACGATATTTCGCAAATTATTATGTATAACAATTATTAAAATTGCCCAATTTGTTTGGCGATTACTAAAACATTTACATTGCATTTACTTTGCACAACCAGCTGTAAGCGTTGCTCAAAATAAAATTAAAACCGTATTCCCGTTATTAATTAAGAGAACCGTGGTGTAATTCCCTCCGATGTTGGCTCACATCAGCGGGATAAACAATCGATAGGACTCGAAACGTCGCCGCGTATCCTTTGTTCGGCGGGCACAAAAGGAAATGTCACAAAAGTTAGACAAGGTCCCGAGCGCGGTTGCGAAACGCCAAATCCAAAAGTCAACCATCGAAAGGTCGAAAAAATGAACAACGAGCGTCGACATTGGCGGAATCACTCACCTTGTCGAAAGTCCTGGAGAGAGAAGATCCTTGGAAGTCAAAAAAATAACAGTTTCATAATAAACGGCGAATGTAAAAAAAAATCAAAATTGATGCAGCACTGAACTGTCGCGTTCTCACAGTGGTCAAGCGCACAACACCAGTGTCATCGCGCCACTGACTGAAATTGGTGCTGCCGTAAAATCTGAAATCCATTTTACTACTTGCCTGCGTGCGTAGAATGGGGGGGCCGCCGCGCAAGCGCACGGTCCTGAGCTTTCCGGCGTCCCAAGCTGCCTCGACGGGCCGCGGGACATGTGCTTTTCAGATTTCTACCTGAGCTTGGGGCAAGGTGTACGGAGCGTCTGCCGCCCACCGCATCCACCCTCCTCTACAAACATACTGAGTACATACACATGGGTGGACCGCCTTAGATTTTCGAAGGGAGAGATTTTCCACAATTCTATACAATCTGTCCCAGGGTGGGTGCCTTGTAGACGTTTTTATTGTTGATTTTTCAAGAGAAAGTTATTCTTGATAAAAAGTTTTGCTTATCTCGGGAAGCCATTGGCAGTAATCAAATATGTAATAAAACATACAGGGCGTCCAAAAAATTTCAAAATATGAAATTTTCCCCAAGCAAAGTGCCTTTCATTTTTGTTTTCGTTAAAAACTGTTTTTAACGAAGTGGTTCGAGAACTAAAATACAGGGTTTAATTTTATTTTGGCAGAAAATTTAGAGTTCAGAAGAAAACTAATATTTCAATAAGACGGATGCCTTGCACATTTCACACTTCTAGTGAGAAACTAGCTAGACGTTCACTTCCCGAACAAGTGGATCGGACGATATGGACCAATACATTGGCCTGCACGGACACTCGACTTGTCCCCATTAGATTATTTCGGGTTATTGCCATTCTCAAACTATTTGAGATCCAACCTTGAAATTTTAATATGATATTCTTGAAGGTATAAAATGCAAAAGAAAATTTAATTTCCTGGAAATGTCACACTGGTATAGCCCCTTATGTCGTACCATGAAAAAATATTTTTTCAAATAACTTTAAAACAGTTTGAGTCGGACTCCTCAGTTGATATAACTCTTTAAATATATCACTAAGTATGTAAATAAATGACACATGGTATCTTCTTTGGTAATATTATTGAAATTCATTCATTCAAAATGGTGAAAATTGTTCTACGTTAATTGTTGAATAGGCGAGTAAAATGAAGTATGTAACAAGTCTTGAAATTTGCCTGGAGACATGAAAATTGACAGGTTCTATTATTTGTTTACAGTAAGTTTGGCCATGAATTAATTTACAAAAAGTCATGCGGATATAGGTTTGTGATTTACAAAGTAATTAAATGAACTTATTAAGAAAATCGGGCTGTGTAGACTAATAGCTGGATAGATTTCGTTCTTTTTATAATGAAGATATTTAAAGAAACATTTTTGTATTCTCTCCGACTCATTAATATTTTAAACTAGGGGCAACATAATGCAAGCGTAACAGATCTGATCTGATTGAAGTCCAATGACATGAACTGAATTGCATTTAGATTAAAGATAGATATAATAAATAATAGTTCGGAAAAAAAATTGGGGAAAAACAGTTAAATTTAAACTCGAAATAAAAATACTGGTTAAAATATCTTTCCACTTAAAATCTCCTTGAATAAATGGATATGCAAATGATACCTACATTATAACAAGATTTGCATATTCAAGATCCGGATACCCTTAAATCTCAGACTAGTCGATATTAAGCACATTGTAACAAAATATAAATATAATATTCTATTTAAAACAACAAAATGTTCTCTGGAAATTAAAAAACAACATTGAAAGTGTGTTTTAACCAAAATTCAACGTAAAAGCAAGCACTCAAAATAAACTTTGTTTAAATTAGAGTCCAGGCCTGACTCTGAGTCTTTTGAATCTTCTAATTCCAACTAACTCAATATGTATGTTCTTGGTCATTTCAAGCATATTCCAATTCTTCATCAGCTTCTTCTAAAAGCGAACATGATTACTTTTCGTATGAATCATACAAATCTTTTGACGCTGCAGAAAAAGGTGATGGTGAATTTTCCAAACAAGAAAATCACTGTGAGAAAAACTAGTAATTTATGTCTTTGTCATAGTAAACGTATAATTTTTAAATAATTATTTCCTTGGTTAGTTATTTGAATTTCCTTATACAATCACTTCTCTCTCTGTTAGGATATTTTACTTTGAGTCAAGATTTACCTGTATTACTCAAAGTCTATGGCAGATATCCAAAATTTCACAAAAGGTGCGAAAAATTATAAAAAAAAATCTATTGCTGAAAGTAAATTAGATAATACTTATTGTTAGTACGTGTAAAAATATTAATAGGTTGTCCAAAGGGTGGAGATTCCAAAAAATAACACCCTGTTTGTCATTCTCTTACACTCCCTATCAATATATTACACTCAAACAAATAAAGACTAAACCAAGAAGTCTCTAGCTCAAACCGTTTTAAAGTTATATGAAAAAGAGATATTTTCTTGATGTAATTTAAACACCCAGTTTCTTGTAAACGGTTCAGTTTTCGGAATACGTTTATATAATAGGCAATTTATTGTCAGTTGTACCCGTGTACCGACAGTTTTTAAACATTATGTGCTCATGTTTCGAATACCAAGCAAATAAATATTTCGAAACATTGTTATCAGGTGTCTCGTAAGATACACCATCATTTTTGTCCGATTTTAAAAACTAGATGATTGGGGTTAACAGCTGTTAAAATAGTGCAAATTGATATTAACTTTACATCATTTTTTTCAGCGCCTATCTTACCTACAAGCGTTGTAATTTTGTTTAATGGAACTCTATGCACAATAGTTATTGTTTGCACGATTGTTTTGCCCTCCAGTCGATACTTAACAATATAAGCAACTGGTGCAATAGGAATAACTTGTTGCTCAGTGTTAACAAATGTGGTATTATCACGTTTCTATTTAATCAAAATATTATTGTTTTTAACTACAATCTAGACACGTCAGTATTATCAGAGGTCCAAAATTTCCAGAAAAATTAAGCAGCGCATTTTTTTTTCTTGAAAACTTGATTGATATGAAACTAAAGAAATTATTTTGTTAAAATCCAGGATAGGTATAAAGGATTATGTTCTTGCTGCGTAAGGAATTGAAATAAGATAACCAAGGAAATAATATACAAATTTTGTTATAATGTATAGTTTTCCTACTCTAATCGACTCCAAACTCGCTTTTACTGTTCGTGTGTGATCAATTTGACTAACGATAAAACTTTATGTTCATAATAATTACAATATCCTCGATATGTTCACAATTTTAATGCAATTATATGACTTTTTTGCATAATTATGCCTATTAAGACTTATTACCCTTTATCTGCTGCTAATATTTTGATAAATATGTTAATAACTTGAAGAGAATACTAGATATTTCCTTAAATATCTTCACAATAAAAAGAAAGTTTATTCAGCTTGATTTCGTTAATAAGTTTTCAACTAATTTCCTCGTAGACCACAGAAGTACGTTTAATTGTACATTTTTGTATAAATTAATTCATGGTCAAACCTATTGTAAACGAATATTAGAAATAGAAAATTTCCACGAACCCAAGCAAACAAGTCTTACTACTTCATTTTTTTACTCGCCTACTTAAAAAATTAATGTAAAACAATTTTCACCATAGCTTTGAATGTAAATGGTACTTCGTCGAATTGATATGTTCACCCACAACCTAACATACTTAAAAACTTCGCATTTGCAACTATTTCATATATATTCGTTTCTTTCATGCTTTTAAAAAGAATAATATCAACCTTGAATAATATCGATACCATTTAAATCTACAAAAAATTGATACAGAAATATATTAATTTGTTCTAAGATAGATAAAGGGCTTTATTTGAGCAACAGAAGCATATTTAATGAAGTGCGATACAGCGTGCTATATAATTATAGGTTTTTTAATAATACTAGGTTTCTTATCAGAAATCCGTTCTTCGAAAATTTACCTAATTCCCATTCTGAGATTTCTAAATATATACAAATAGAATTATCCAAACTAATCACAAATTGATCCTAAATTTTGCAATATGGCGAAATAACTATTTTCACAATGAAAATGCAGTGCCTTGTTAATTTCATCGTATTATATCTGTAATATTAAAACATATGGTTACACTATACAGGGTGTATTTAAATGGAGGAGCACAAATGATACCAGAGATTCCTTGGGTAAAAGTAAGTCGATTTAACCTAACATACCTTTATCCCAAGTCGCATAATAAAAAAGATACGGGGTGTCAAAGTGAAAAATAAAGAATGGTTTTTCCTTAATAATTTCTATAATATTAGGCAGAAATGTTTCAAATTTTCAACAGAGATTTTCTTTGAGGAGATATTTTTAATTTCATAAATTAGTGTTACGGATCTCCACGAATACCAAGGTTCGAGTTGCTTAAATAAATAAAAAAATCGAGTAGGTAACTGTCATTTGATAATAGTTGTAAATTGCAATTTTGAAGTATCAGTTTAAAGTGTTAATTGATTTTAGTCACTATTTACCTGCGTCCTAGATATTAAATAGTTTTGGAATTGAATAAAATAACAAATTATGTATACTAATGACGAGTATGTCGATATGTTGCAAGTATTTTTTGAATGTTACAAGAACTGTGCTGCTGATGTACGACTTTTATCATGTCAGTTATCCCAATCGTCGTGTTCCTGCTAGAAAAGCTTTTGCGGCGGTAGAAAGAAGACTTCGAGGAAACGGACACATTCAACATCGTTCTGAAGGTACTGGCAGAAGACGTCTTATTCGCGATGTAGAACTTGAAGTTATTTTAATCGTAGAATTGGATTTTTTTATACTATCAGCCAATTTTTTTCTTAAATTATTTATTGACTGTTGTTAAGTGACTCTTGGTTTTAGTTTTGCTCTTTTTTCTAATAATTATTATTAAACTAACAATAAATAAATATTTTGTAATATTTTTTCACCTGAACTGTTATTTCATATGAGATTTCTTTAATGCAGGGTTTAAATAATTTCACAAGCACATGAAAATGTGTTTTTTAATATAGACACCGAAAAAACAATTAAAAAACAATTAATAGAAAATATGCAACAAGTGTATTCACACATGCT